CTTGCAAATCTGACGAAAGGGGCTCGCTTTTGGTAAAGAGATACAAACACAGCACTGTAGAACACACTGCAGTCTGAATGTTTATCATATCAGCATTCAGTGATGGTAATTTCAGCATCTGCTATTACATTCCACATAGTATTGCTCAGCTTATGCACCATAAATTCACATACTAGCTTACTTTACAGTAACTTGTTAACGTGCTCACATATCACTGAGGTGTAATAAACACAGAAGGCTAACATAGAATAGATAGCTCCACTTATTTTCTTGCATATGGAAGCCATAAATAGTCTAAAAAACAATTTTAGTTAAACTGACAGAATTTCCTTATGTAACCAACACAGGTAAGTCCACAGGTAGCCCAAGTGCAGGAAGTGAGATGTGAAGCCAGAGTGATTTGAGTTCTCCTTTAGTAAAATTACTTGCAAGAGATCATGGAACCAGAAAACAATAATTTGTTCTCAGTACTGAAAAGCAGAAAGGAAGAATATGCTATTTACACAAATGTGCAAACATGAGCAGCATGTCCTGACCTGGCAATAATATGCAGATTGGCCTTTTCTTTGTAGTGGGTATTCTTATCTAACCTGTTTGCGAATGTAAATTAGAATTAAATTTTCTCAATATATTTTCATTTTTTAAAAATAATTTTTCTTCAGTATATTTTCCATATTTCTGAAATCTCTTGCTTTTAAACAAAATTTTGAAAATCTAAATTCAAAGTTCTGATGCTTACATCAAACCAACACTCACCAAGTGAAATGAAAAGCTAACAGTTAGCTGTAGGTCAATGTGATAGTTTAGAATATGCTTCTTGACAGCTATTTTCCTTCCAGTCTTAGAGAAACTGAAACCCCACAGCAGAAGTTTTGTAAATCACTTCTTCTTACTGGACCATCACCTTAGTCCTTAAGTAAAAATTGTACCTGTCAGCACTCCTGTGGGCATTATAGCTCTGCCTTCTAGCAAAAGCCCCAGTGAGCTGCCAAATCCTGAGTTGAACCCATTAAAAAGCTGTCATGTCAGTTGTGCTGTAATAACACCTGCACATTACAAGCTTAAACACAAATATTTAGCCTTCATCTTCTTCCTCCTGGGTATAATGAACTCCCTTCCTCCTACACAGGTGTAAGGGTCCAGCCATGTACAGCTTTATTATAAAGCATTTCCACCGAAAAGCATGGAGATTTAGCAGTGACCAGTAAGCCATTCACATGGCAGTTTTTAGGACTGGGTTTTATGGCATTCAAATGGAAATAAATGATGGGATGGAACGCTAGTCCCTCTGCAGCCCTGCCTGCTGCAGCTCCCGACGCTGGTTGCTGCTGCTTCACGAGGCAGGCAGAAAAATGGTATTCTGTTATCAAAACCCTTCTTCAAGTGCTATGTAAAATGCATTTATGCACATGGAAATTTATCTTCATAAAAATGTACACATTACAAAGACATAGCTATAGATTAGATTTATGTCACACTATATGACTCTACTCATCTCTCCAACTTGTTAAGAACCTGGAAGCCACGGTCACATCCTTCTTGATGAAACCATAATTATTAATTGACTGGTAAGTTACTTTACAGATTATACCCTTTTAGGTATTTGTAACAGAAATACTGACTGGTTTGAATGAAAACGCATGTCTTTAAGCACTAGCAGAAGCGGCAGAACAATGAGAAAAAAGGACAGTCTGGTTGTCACAGGGCACTGTCCCCAGAACATCGTTCCCCAGCAATGAAACTGTAGCACATGCTGTTTATATCAAGATCAAAAGGCCTCCACTGTGATAAATCAAATCACAGCCGAAATGAGTCATCAGCCTCACATTCTAACATCAGAAGGATGGTGACAAGGCTGCAGAATACTACATATGCCATTCCCATTCCCCTAACCCAAGAAGAGAACAGACCATATACAGATATTTTAAGCATACATTTAAATAAGGAAAACCACACAAGACACAACAATGTGGCCTAAGATGTATGGAGGCTAAAGACAGAAATATTCTGAGGCACAGAAAAACCCCATAACAATTGCTGATGCCTAAAAGGCCTGAAAGATCTGTCCAAAAACTAGCTCATCATTGTCATTCAAGAACCCTACATATGTGAAGAGGACTAGATAACAGTGTCCCTTTTTCTCTGAGTCCAGACAACGTGGGCATGTCTTGGTATCTGTGAGTACAAGTAAATTAACCTTATGAGAAAAGAAGGGTAGGTAAAAATCATCTGGCTTAATGGCTGTAAACAAATATAATATCACTTTTCCCTTCCATAAGACCTAGCACTGAATTTTATTACTCTAATTTTCTAACACCAGCAGCCATGGTGCTTCATACTTATAAGCTTCATATTTGTCAATTATATCCAGTTCACAAGTTCTGATGGACAACACAAAACTTATGATTGTGCAAAATCTGAGATGCAAAAAAAAAAAGAAAGGCAGTATGTTATGAGACCTTACATGTGCTAGGAAGTTACTTATATGGCAGCATAAATCACTGCACACATCTCTGAAGCAAAGAGGAAAACCGAAAGAAAGATTTCTAAACAGGGTATTTCAAAAGCACATTACTTGCTCACACTAGCGTTTAATACTTGCAATTGCAAGTCAAAGTAGACCTTAAAAACCTTGTGGGGTTTTTGGTTTTGTTTTTTTTTAAAAAAACACCAAATGAGGATGTGCCTAGGCTCCTTGTACAAATACCTCTGAGAAGGTATCAAAATACTGTATCAAGGTAGAAGGTATCAAGAATTTTCCAGAAAATTCTTGTTGCAAGTAGAGATACATCCAGCTTACAGTCCTGTGGGGTCACATCAAAGCCATAGAAAATGTTTGAGGCTTCTCTTTTCTTCCACAAATCTGTCTTGCAGTAAGAATTGTTTTTCAGTGTTCAAGTTTACCTACCAGCATATTAGAAAAAAATTAAACAGAAAACCAACACAGAAGTGTATCTTTTTTCTTCTATTCAAATCATATAATTTTTTTATTTAAAAAAATATTAAAAGGTAAAGACAAAACATTACTAAGTAAACTTGACCTAAATAAATTCTTCCATTATATATTTTGTTTAATACTCTCTGGATAATCAACTTGTAGTAATAACATTAATTAGTCTGACTGCTATGTGCACATCACCGATATTTCTATTACTTGAATAAAGGTACCCACCACTAGAATATACTCACTGCTAGAATGACAGGTATAGAAACAGAAAATAAACCCACCACTAGAACGTTGCTATATTGCAACTAAATCCCATAGTTCTCCAACAGTGCATTTATGTAGGTTTATTTTACCTATTTCACACTCCTCACGACTTAGTCGGAACACTGTATGGATTAACAGCAAACCTAACTAGAACTGAGCCAAAAAAGTCTGAGGAGGGAAAAAAGTGTTAAAAGGAAGAGGGGAAAAAAAAAGAAAAAAAAACCTAGAAAGGTCAGAGTCAAGAGTTACATATATCTAGGCAAATAAGAGTTCTGAAATAATTTTCAGAAACTATCTGGATAAAGTACTTTGTACAAGGTAAGATGTATGAAACTAAAGGTCACAGCAAAGACGAAAAGGGCAGCTTTCCTAGAAGCTGAACGAAGAAAAGGTATGCTTTGATACTCTTTCCGTTGTCTCAGTCTTTCAGGTACTAAAGTATATAACAAGCCAAACACAGTGCTCTTTGAAACTACCTTCTGAGTAGGACATAAAAGTCTTGCCTGCCCTTAACAACGTGACTCGAGTCAGTAACAGTACTGTGGACTAGTGAACCAAGATGCAGTGCGTGAAGGCATCACCCTTACTTAAGTGACTTCTGTAAGGCAGGATACAATCTCTGCAGGAGAATCAGAAGAAAAATCCCTGTCTAAGCCTCAGCTGCTCCAGCTCATATGTCCAATGTTTCAGTGCATGCGCACCTTTACTAGCAAATAGATTTACAGAAGAGCGACCTATCAGGATACAACAGTTTCTCATCGTTCCATCCTGGTTTGTGGAAGAAAAACAGAATTGTGAATTCTTGCTACCTTGTCCCCACAAAACTTCTCAAGGTAGGTTTACAAATGCTTGTTGCATTGGGAAAAATCTTAGAAACATTGCCAGAACATCTTTATCTGCATTTGGAAGCTTATTTGCTCAAAAAACATCCCCCCAAAACAACCACCAAATTCTGGAACATATGTTTGTGGCTAGTGAGTAGCACAGAAAAATTAAGGGCTCTATAAAGTTGTATTTCTTTTTATCCTAAGACCTTAAGTATCACCCTGTAATCCTAAACTTTAGTACCAAATATATTATCTTTCAAAATTCTTTTAAACAGTATGTTTGAGCTCCATCAAACTTCCACAAAGTTAAAATTTTCACTGTATGTTTATTCTCAGTGACCAGGATTATTTCCTTATCAAGAGCTGCTAATTCTGAGCATTGTTATTATAACTGACAAAAAACCCCTAAAGAATCCTGGTGATATACCACATGAGACTACTTTTGATAAAAGTAACAGGAGCAGCCGGTTACAAATAGCAAAAAGCAATAGAAAAAAATAATTTAAGCAAAATAAAATAATCTTTTGAATAAATAATAAGTAGAAGAATTATCTTTGTAAATGTCAGTCCCTAACACCAGCTAAACCAGCTCCAATTTAACCACCACAGATATGCATTACTTCTACTTTACCTTACAGTAAACCACTTACCAGTTGGTTTGCAGAACAAAATCAGGAACAAAATCAACACAAGGAAAGTATTTTCAGCCTCATTCTCTATTACTGAAGATTGTATTGACTGATAAAAGCAAGGACAGGCATCAGATTTAGTAGGAAGCTGCTTTCAGAAAGTACCATAAAAACCAAACTGTGTGACTTCAGAGAGAGCAACAGGCAAAAATCAGTTTCCGGAGATCTCAAGTCTATGTTCACACCCTACAGAATAATCTTTCTGATGTCCAACTCAGCAACAAAGAAAGAAACAGAGCTTTAATTAGGAATTAATAAAATAAGAATACTTACGCTGACCCCACCGGCCTGTTCTTGGATTCAAATAATTTGGATAAAGTCCATTAGGACGATCCATTTTTTGAAGTAACTTCCGAATGTGCATGACCTAAATTAAATCAAGAATCAGGATCAGCATTAACAACATTCATCTGCTCGCTGCACATAGCACATCTAATTTTTGTTTTGGTAGTAAATGTTCTTAATCTGAACCCAGAAGCTTTCTTGAAGACTCTCTGCAGATTAGTATGTTTTTGTTTTTAAAGGACTGCTCACATAAACATGTTTAAAAATTATGATTTGTAAATGTGTGCCGAAACAAATTAAAAAAAAAAAACCTTGTATTGTCATAAATTTCTACTTTATAAAGTCACCTATTTGGTAACAGAAATACAAGTATGAAAAAATTTACCTGCTACCAAGAATGCAAATTCCCCTTTAATGCAATTTATGATGAAACAGTATAAAAGACATTTGTATGATAAAAAAACTGAATTAGAGACCCACCTTGTTGTAGTATACAGGGTCACCTGTCAAATAGCTGAGGTGGACAAACTCCATGTGCAGAGTACCGAACTCGGCAAGGATGCTGCTGCCGGCAGAAGCCCAGCCCCAGTTTCGACCCACACCACTGAATTTCAACAAATATGCATAAAAAAGAAAGAAAAAACCAAAAAAATCAGAATTTCTGTGCACAGCACCAGTAACAACCACCACAGCAAATTAAACAAGTAACAACAAACTATTAACCCGTACTTAAGATTACAGGAGTTGCAATTTGATTGATCAGTTGGTTCATTGGTTGGGTCTTTTTAGAAAAAAAGATACCATAAGCTCATCAACAAAAAAGTCCTGTGATTAAAAGATATAATATCTTGATGTCACGGAAATACAATGACTTAACACCAGGCCCAATCTCGATTGTTGTTTATTCATTCTATGTTCCTAAGAACAAGAAACAAAAGCAATTGTCAGATGAGAAGAGTATACTTCCGAAGGTGGCAGTATTTGCTTCCTTGTTTTTCATGATGTTTCAGGATCGTGTCTTTTAATTTCTGAAGTTACCTACATTTTCCTGGAGATTACTTCTAATTCCTCTCACAAAAGATTTCAGTCATCATTAAGACTATAATCAATTAGGAATGTCTTCTTACTCATTTTTTGAATTACAAATTAGAAAGAGAAAATGTAAAGGAAAAGTGCTGGCCACGGAGCAGTATTTGTAAGCTCTGACCTGAGACAGAACAACACCTTTTAAAATACAGTAACCACTCCCTACAGACTGTAGAGAGAGAAAATCATAACTTGTCTCAGGGGTTATTTTTGGTACAGGTCTAGTAAAAAAAGAAAATTACATGTTCCATTATGAATACAAAAGCTAATAAAACACAACTTGATAATTTTCCAAATATTTCTTTCAGGTCTTGTCTTTTACTGCATGTCAGCCCCACAACAAGTGGTCTCGTGCACTCCTGCTACTGTCTCTGCCCTCTGGCATGTCAGCCACTATTTTCTGCTGCAATGCTGGCTTGTTCTATACATTACCAAGGCACTGACACAGTAGATGCATAAACAATACCAGCACGCAGGAAATTTCTGGCACTCCTCTCTGCCTATTGCAAATCCTCCTCCCTGGTCCTGCCGTTCTGACTGTGCTCTGATACCCAACCTATGTGATCGGCCTCCGTGTTTTACTGATAGGTACCCATGCATCTACTGCTTGCAGCTTCTTAAACCCTGCCATCGACATTGCTCAAGCCAGTGAACCAGACGCTTGTGCTGCCTGAGGAGTACAGCCACCTGGGCCCTCCAAACATGCTGGAATCACATGCAGGCTAGGGCTAAACAAAGCAAAAACAAAAACCCAATATACACAGAATTTCAAGCCTTATAAAACTGCAGAAAGATAACTGAATAAACCATAATGCCATGCAGAAAGTGCATAGAGAAATTTAGCCCAACAATATTAATTGGACAGAGGTCCAATAAATAGCCTCAGAGGGGGAAGTGCAGCACAGGCAAAGCAGAGAAAACCAGGCAAGGGTGGTGAGTCCCTCTACCAACAGCAGGGCAAACCACAGCTCCATGCTCTACACCCAAGGAGTGACAGTAAAGTGAGGATTGTTTCCTGATCACAAAAAAGCACGTAAGGCTAAGCATCTCAAGGCTAATGATCTCAAAGTAGTCCTAAACCTCTTCACAGTCTAACAAAGCACAATAAAATCATAGAATCATTAAGGTTGGA